GTTCTTATAAAAGAAAAGGAAATCTAATACTATTTTCACAATGAAAAAAACTTAATTTTAAGTATAGTTTAACAATATGTAAAATGTAATACTTAATTGAGGAAACTATTGGTGGAAACCTAAAGCGGTAATTCCACTGCAAGGCAAGCTAAATGCTGCTAATTTGTGGATTTGTGTTCAAATACACAAACAAGCAGGTAGACCAAACAGAAAAGAGAAAAGTGAAAACTGGGGCAAAGGTCTGCTTAATACAACGTTTCCTCTTTATTTGCTTTTGTTCAAATACCAACATCATACTTTCCCTTTCTACAACATATTCATTGTCCGAGTAAGAAATTGACGGCCAGATACACTACTCGTCTTTTTTATTTGGTTGATTAACGTTTAACATTTTGGCTATCATACGCTGCCGTTGACTTTGGATACTGTTTGATCAATATGAGAACAGAGCAGCGATTAAAATAAATCACTATGAAAAAGCCACAATAATGTGAAATTCGGACCTTTACAATATGACGTTGCACATGTTCACTAGATATATTTCAGGTTGTATAAGCGAATAGTGGATTTTTTAGAATTGTAATGGATTTTAAAACCCAGCTAGACACTAGACTTAAACACCAACTTTTATATCGTGTTAAACTAAAAATTACGCCTTATTCTAAACTAAGGCATCTTTTATCTCATTATCTCCTATCAACTGTTATGAAATACTAAAATAGGAAATATAACTTCAATACAGTACTGAGAGGCTCGTTGTACCTATCTTGCATTATAATATGGCTATAGACTAGTTGTTTCAAGTATACAGTTACTGTGTCTACTAAAGTATACAAAATCAATGCTGGAAACGTCGTACGACATTTAAACACAATCTCTGATATTTTGAGGTGTAATCTTCCCACAAGTGTACTTGTTGCTCTAAATCGAGAAATTGTTAACTAAGTATTAAGTTACAGGGGTTATTTCAAAACAAAATGAATTCGAGATTTATAAGAATCGAGAAATTAAATTTTAAGTATGGTTTACATACAATTTAAACTTTTCGAATGAATAGAACACCGTGTAGATTTTGAAGTTTCGTTTTTAAGTGTGGACACCTGGATTCGTGTTCATCCAGTAGAAACAATAACCCTTCGGGACTTCGCCAATTTGTATGGCGCTGTTGGTCCGGCGTCGACGCCGTTCGGCCGTCGGCGCTGTTTGTCCGGCGCAGGTGTGTCCGGCGCGTGCCAAACGTCGTGTCATGTACTCTTGTACTCCCAAACCCAACGCCGCACCGGATCGCGTTAAAGAAGCCTTATCTCACAAGAATAGTATAGGCATTCAACGTTTTAGTTTCTATACTCCTCATGACCACGGTAAATTTTCATAAATGTATATCAGTTTGCACACCTACGACACGTTCTTCCCAATGAGACGTGGTCGGATAGAGGTTTTCTATATTTTGCAGGCGTCACGATCAACAGCACCCGTTCTCTCAAAACAGACTTTTGTGGTAGTTCCGCCCTTGGCCACCAGTTTCGTGGCTGTCGAATGGCGGGAGCTGTGATTGTTGACAACCCTCCTGCGTGACAAACTATAAAGTGTCAACCCTGCTGCTACCCCCCTCGACCCTCAGTCTCTCAGCTGAGCTGAGCTAGTGTCTAGTATATCTTGTGCGGCCTTGGTCTAGCCCTTGTCTACTGTCCCACCCCGTGTTTCACTTCAACTGCTGCGTCTCAGCTAGGAAATAGAAATGGTTGAGGAGTTCAGTCGACAAATTTCGTGTTGGCATAGATAGATTTAACACACGCTTTCACACCACTCGCATATTCTCTCTTCTATGAATTTCCCAGAATCAGTTGTATAGGTGAGTGAACTATGTAATGCGGGAACGACTTAAATGGTACAATTAGACATAACTACACCAAAGAACGCCCAAGTATTCCGATAGATCTTCATAGTCATGAAGATTACCGGGAGTGTAGAAGCACCTCGGAGGCCTACTTCTCTACAATGGCATACGGAATGTAAGTTTTGAAATAGTTATTAATTTTCAAGTCAACGATTATTTTAAATTCGTAATCTTTGAACACGGACAATTTTTTAATCTGAATTCTCAGTAGGGTATATTATTTTAGCATAAAGAATTCGTATTCAGAATTGTCGTGGTTTGATCAAAGAGGCCGCCAATCACTTAAAAATGAAAATATATTGTTTTAATAATTTGGCTTTATGAAGACCTTTTGGTTGATTTACTACTTCGTTTTATTGATAGTTCTCTTAGTATTAGCTATACTAACCTACCTGTGCTTTTTCCCCAGAGTAAAAGCTACGTACAATTTGGTAGCACCGCAAAGCGGTTGACGTGCTATAGGACCCTGAGTCCATCCCTCTTACAGTACAATTGATCGGGGTATGATTACCTACTTTGGACCTACTTTAGAGAATCAGTAGTGCCACTGATTTTTTTTTAAATACCTAGTTTCTATAATCAGTGTTATTATATACCTTTGCGTATATTATAATAGAAAACTGGTCATAAATATAAACAAATGACGTCACAGGCCCGAATGCCTATACTAATAGCCGTTAACAGATTGTTTCGACTTTTTAGGCATTTCCACTTAAATGTTCATAAAATGTGTTTAGTTTCGAGCCAGTTACAGGAGTTTATATTTATGATCCATAAAGTTTTCTGTTCTAATATCCGTGGGTACCTCTAAAGAAACAATACTTAATTTTTCTGAATAGCTGATTGATATTTGAAAGTTGGTATCGATTGCATAGATTCTGAAACTTTGCGGATAGTTGTTTAATGTCACGAAAGCCTGAGTTTTAGAATGTTTATAATTTTACTAAATAATACGTTGGGGGTAACTCTGCCGCTAGACCGTGTTTAAATATGCAAAGAAATGTTCAAAAATTCAGTGAATAGACTTATATATTATTTACAGTTTTATCCTATCAAACGATGTTAAAACTAATTTAACATTTTTAGTTATATCAAGAAAGATATAAATTTCTCAGTAATTCCTTGTCCAAACTAAACTGAGTAAGATATCGCAAAAAATCTCCATAAAACTTGCTAAATTTATGTTTCTTGATAACTTTTTTTGTGTAATTTGACATAAAATATTTTAAGTAGCCACAATTTTAAAGTGGTTTAAGAGTTTTTATTCACATTTTGCACAAAGATAGCGGTCAGTATAAGTCAACAATTTTACTGAATGAGTACTTCACACTGTAGCTCAAACAATGACGGAGTTATGAATGTTTTCGAAAAAACACACATTCACACAGATAGACAAACGAAACGAAATAGAACGGTTTACATATATTTTATATTAACTTTTTCCTTATTCAAACTTGCATATTATTCACACTATTCACAGAAGTTTGAACAAAAATACGAACTAGAAAATAACAATAATATATTGCGGGTTCGTTCAGTTACTACAGTTAGATAGGATTTTTGAACACCCTGTATAATAAGACACAAGTCACATCACAGATGGAACGTCAAACGAAAACAAACATAACCTCAACTGTAAACAGTATCTTCGTTACCTTTCCACTTCTTATCATCCATTGATAACAGAACGGCACGGATGTCGTGTCAGTTATGTACTATTTGCTGACGTTCAAACCAGTGCTCAAAGTTACCAAATATGTCGCCAGACACGTCAAAAGTCTCTGCCACCGCTGCGAAAACCGCTGCAGATATTGTAGAAATAGGAGTAAGTGTTGATCTTGTTTTACAACTGGTTTCTGAAGGGAATTCAAGTTTTTATATAAATCTGGCTAGATTTCGTGAGTGGTAAAATATGTTGATTTAGTTTAGATAACTCAAAGGGACAGTTGTGTTTTTTTTTTCAATTTTACTAAAGAATGTATAAAATTAATGTTTCAGGTTGCTCCTATTAGGATGTTTTGTATTTTTTATGGCTACAGTATAAGTGACAACAGCAATCCAAAAAGTACAAAGTTACATAAAATCTATTTTATAAAAATAGCACATACTGTTAATAACTTCAATTAATTAATCTACTAACTACCAGACTCATCTTGACCATCAGATCCACAGTTTGAAGGGAAATTGATTAAATTTACCAATATTTCACCAAAAAATGTTAAGTCACACAAAAATTAAAAATAAACAAATTACAACCCTTAACAAATACAATTGTATGCCCCTTATCGTGAAGGAGGCTTATGTTTGTTTGTTTTAAAAAACAGTAGGTACATTACACTATAAACTTATGAAACTGACCTGAATCAAAACTTATCCATATATCAAATCAAGTGTATTATAGACAAAGTGGATTTGTCTTCAAATAATGTAATACTTAGCTATGTTCACTGACATAGCTGGGAGATCAGCAGGGGTTCCAAGGGGGAGCTATAGGGGCCTTCCCATTTGACCGAGGAAATATAAATCTTAACATACATTTTGTCATAAATTTAACACCGGTTTTTGGACACAGTTCTAGATGTTGAAGTCACAAAACGGCTTTACAAAAATTGAAAATTTTCTGAGGGAGGGGCCCCTGACCCTCCTCCCTGGTGTGGTTCACCCCCGTTAGCCCCCCCCCCCCATAATAAGGCCCTAGAACCGCCAATGTGGGTAACAAGTGGGTAACACTGTGGGTAACATAACAAGTGTTTTGTAATTTTTTTGCACCCGCCACCCTGAAAACCCCAAATTTCCAAACTAAAAATATTAGGTACCATTATGTTAAACATGTTACTCCCTTGGTTGACCACTAGGCTATTCATTTAGCTTTTAAAGGGGAAAAATATATATGTATAATAATTTTTAATTATTTTTATTTTTAAGTATGTTGACGGTCTGTTTTAATCTTTCATTTAAGCCAGTACAAGGGAGAAATGTGTTAGTTACCAGGATCCAAACCCACGACGCTGTGGTGTGTAGTCCGTGGCGCTACCGAACTGATCTAAAGAACCTCAAACAAATCTCATAAGTTCTTCAGTTCTGACTGAATCCTCTGTTGCAGCATGTATCCCCCAGAGGTATGTACTGGGCATTATGGGATTGCTCGGGATGGCCAATGCCTACATCATGAGGGCTTGTCTCTCCATAGCCATCACTGCGATGGTCACTCACAGACCTCCGGACTCAACGTATGTCAATGAGGAGGAGTGTCCAGCCGTTGACCAAGGGAACAGCACGGTCCGAGGGGTCATGGTGGAGGTGAGTGTTTGTCGCTTCTCTGTTGAATCTTCCAACATTTATCTTTACTTGGAAAAGATCTGGGACCTTTTGGCCACAAATCTTAGAAATTAAAGATAAACACGTTTTAGTTTGTTTCATTTGTATTGTTCCTGAATATAAAAATAATTATGGAAAAAGTGTATAATATTAAAAAAATAATTACCTAGAAGACTGACTACTATCTACAGTAGCTGCTGTGTTTTTGGGAATGAGTAATTTTTATTAGTCAATACACATTCAGAACTCAAACCACCGTATTTATCAAAACAAAACAAAAACTGGGAAACTAATAATGATGATAGTAACAACTTGTTGGTAAATGACCAATAATCTAAATTTATCTCGCTGAAAGTGTATTTCTAGTCCAAAAATAAATCGAAATCTTGTTTACTGACTTGTTCCAACAGTGTAACCAGTGTTTAAACTTTTGTTTACTAATGATAAAGTCTCTACTTATATAAATAGAGTTTATCAAATTTACATTGCAATATTCACTAACTCATAGTGATTGCAAAAGTTTGGATTTTATTCCCAAACTTATTTCATTCAAATGTATAAAACAATATCATTAATAAAGCACACACAGCAAAGTATCAACTGTTCTTTGGGCATTATTTGCAATTCTAAAATATTTTCATATTATACGACTCGTTGATCGTTTTAAATTATAAGTTATTGTATTTGGACTCTTTAAAACACCCCTGAAAAGTTTATGGTAGAAATATCAAATATTTTAACATATTTGTACCCAAAACTATGACTTTCATGTTCCAGGGCACCTACGATTGGGATGAAAAAACGCAAGGATTGATCCTGTCATCCTTCTACTACGGCTACATCATCACACATGTTCCTGGAGGAGTCTTGGCTCAGAGGTAGAGGATTTTCAGGGTGTCCTTAGGAGTTAGATAGTTCAATAACTCATTGATAAAAATAAGGATATGTCTAAGGTCGTGGGGTAGCATTGCTAAACCTTACTTACAACCAGTGCTTCATTTGTAAATAAACGGTATCAGCATTCTGACACATACTTTCTCCCATAAGTTTGTCAACAACCTTTATCATGTGTAAGTGGTGAGAGTAAATATACGCAAATGAGATTTGTACAATTTAGTTCAGGATTTAAAGGACTATAACATGAAACATTTTTATAAAAATCAACGAATCATTCGAGCCATTTTTGGAAAAATCCGATTTTTCTGTTATTTTATGGGGGTTTTAAGGGAAAATGACATAATTTACAATAACTTTCGAACCGTAATTTTTACAGAAATGGGATTTGTACCATTTTGTTCAGGATATAAAGGACTATAACATAATAAATTGTGATCAAAATCGTTCGGGCCATTTTTGGGAAAATCATATTTTTCCTTTATTTTATAGGGTTTTATGGGAAAATCCCCATAAAAATTAAAAATTTCTAAAAAATTAAAAAAAAAACTATCAAAACTGTAAGGACTATAACATACTATGTTAAATCAAGACCGGGTTTTTTCTAAAATCCTATTTTCGTTATTTTATGGGGTTTTTATGGGAAAATAACATATTTGACCATAACTTTTGAACCATAATTTTTACAGATATGGGATTTGTACCATTTTATTCAGAATTTAAAGGGCTACAACATACTAAATTTTTATCAAAATCGTTCGGGCCATTTTTGAGAAAATCCGATTTTTCCGGTTTTTTATGGGTTTTTATGGGAAAATCCCCATTAAAAATCAAAATTTCAAAAAAATGAAAAAACGCCTGGAGATACCATGGATTAGAACTTACATACCAAATTTCATCGAAATCGGACCACAGGTGTGGTCTCTAGCTCTGTACACATCCAGACACACAGACACACACACACACACACACCCACACACACACACACACACACAGACATCACTTCGAAAACCACTTTTTTGGGTCCAGGGGGACCCAAAACGAATATATCCACTCAAAACTCAAACTCGAAAATTTTGACGAAAACAATACTTTCTCCATATACTATGGTATAGGGGGAGAAAGTAAAAATGAGGTGCCAGTACTACTTAATATGATTAGTACCTATTTATGTACTTATATTTATGCCATTATTTTTATCTTTTCAAAAGAGAGGTGAACCGGATATCACCGGTCCGCCGCCAATCGAGCACTGCTTACAACCATTAAATTTATGCTAGTACAGCCATTGACTTTTGGATATACTTACTGTAGTATATTTAAAGTATCTCATCTATATAGACCAGCAGCTGTAGCTATTATTTTATTACTACTATTTTATTATTAATGATCCCTTTAGCATTTGTGTGTTCTCATCTATAACCGCAAAATAAAATCTTTATATTTTCATCCAAAATCTGAGAGATTTGTGATTTTACAATAGCATTAAGAGACAAAGAAATTGTTTCACACTGCCTTAAAAGTTTCCATAGTGTAGCATCTTTCCTTAAACTTTTCCTCATGTAAACAATAGATAAAGTTAAATAAGCAGTGATCTTTCCTGAAGATTTAGATCTATGTCACTTTGCACAATACCGTAGTTACTATAAAATAATCAACAATCACACACATAATATGTCCAGTCCAGTTGTTGTTTGTACATGTCTCTTATTATCTTGCAAAATGAGGTAATGAATACCTGTGGAAGGGAATTCCCTATCAATAAGCTAAGATTGTTATTCTGTTTTTAGAGGGGGAGGGGGCCAAATAAACTTTGTCAACATTGTGTTGTGATTCCCAGAAATTTAATTTGGTTCCTTTAGAATGTACAAGCAATTTGGGTTCAACGCATTTTGTGGCTTTATTTGACAATACATTGTGAAGTCTACTTGAAGTATGTGAATAATGATCTCTTTGATCTGATCTATGTGCAAGACAAATAAAACACAGATTTCATGCTGCCTCAAGTTAGGAAAATACTAAAATTGCCTTTCTACAGAGAGCAATCCCCTGCTGTTGTAAAGTAAAGATGATTTAATAGGTTAAGTGATTTAAAGGTAGCAATTCAGTTATGATGTTAACAATAGCTCGTAATCCACTGTTTTTCCATCATTGAAAATACTTCTTTACCCAATTATTGTTTTTACACCGTAAACTACCTACAGTGTATCACTTTCTGTGAGTTGAATCCAATAGTCAGGTACTAGATACAAGTTGCTTAAAGTTAAAGTCCCTCAAACATTGGAACCCACCTAAGATTGTAATCATCTAAAGGTTACAATATCCTAAATGATATTGCAAATTATATTGCAATCTCATTAAAGTTGCAATCTCATTAAAGTTGCAATCTCCTAAAGATTATGATCTCTTTAGATTGTTATATCCAAAGGGTTGTGATCCCCCATTAAAAGTCAATATTCCCTAAAGGCAGTGCCTTTTTTATAAATAAGTCCATTTGGCACAAGAGGTTAGAGGTTATAGGTTTTTTGGGCGAACAAAGGGAGAGAATTCCACCACACCCTTATGGTTTTTATTTCTGGTACTACAATATTATAAGTAGGCCTATTCTTTCTAAAATTTAAAAAATTGTGAATTTTCCAGATATGAACTATTAAGTTTATTTATAACATTAATAGGAATTTTAAGATTTAAAAAAGTATGTTCCCCTCAATCGCTATCTCGAAAAGGTTGTGATCCCTTAAAGGTTGAAATCCTAACAATACTGGGTCCAAATGTATCCTGCATGTTGTAGGTTTGGTGGCAAGCACACTCTAGGTCTAGGCATCTTCAGCACGGCCATCTTCACACTGCTGACTCCTATTACTGCTGAATCTATGGGAGCTTGGGGGCTGATCTTGTTGAGGTTCCTCATGGGACTCGGAGAGGTAAGGACTATTTTAATCTTTCTTTATATCACAGAGAAGTATGTACAGGGGAAACACGCTTGGGATGAATGTAGGCTTTTAAATGTTTAAAAATGTAGTTGTATGGTTAGTAATTTAAATAGGTACTGTCCTTAAGTAAACATGATTATTCATTTACCTTATTGACTCAACATTTTTTATCAACATAAATTTTAAAGTACAATAAGGGTTTAAATTATCCTCCTAGGGAACCACGGTATTGTTAAAATGCGTGTTCATAATAGGGTACTCTAAATGGAACTGTACTTTAATATGAACTCTTAACTATAGAAACAATAAGTTTATAAAGGATACAATAAATTCTTGCGAACATAGACATCTTCTACTTATGAAAACAACAACAAATTTGTTAAATAAGCAGTCCAAACCATTAAGGAAAAAAACACAGATGCTCTATACTCACGTTTATTCTATCCTTCAACATATTCAACAATGTCTTCCTCAGATTTTGGATGGTTTTCAATTGCCTTCTGTACACACTCACGAGCTATGTCTTCTTCTCCGAGCGCTTTATGAGCTTTAGCCTTGTAAAGAAGAGCTTTCAGACTCTTTTCGTCAAAACATCGAATGACCAAGTCACAATCTTCGATTGTCTTCTTGAACAATCTTAGCTTCAGACAGGTCAACGCTCGACAGAGATATAAATGAGCACTTTGACGGAACTCATCAATTGCTTTGTTGTAGAATGACAGCGCTTTTTCAAACTCTCCGGACTTGAAAGCTTTCTCTCCTTGTTTCTTCAGAGTGTCTGATGACTCTTTAGAGAGTCTTCTTTCTTCTGCTCTTCTTTTTGCATCTTCTTCGCAACTTTTCATAAATGCCTCGGGACTTTGGGTTTGCAGGTCGGTTGTCATTTCATCAAAAGCTCTTTGATTGATTACAGTCTTGTTGGTTTTCACCCGTAAAGAATCTTCGTTGATTTCTTCCAAAAGCTTATCGGGATTGCCTAAATAGTTATCAACCATATTTAGAGTGTCTTTTGCAATGGATTTGTCTTTTGAGGTTAACCCCTCCATGAGTCTTTTTACTTCTTCTACCTTCACCATGAAATTGCCGAACTCCTCATCCAATGCAGAGCTTTTAGTTTCATATTTGTTCATAAACTCACTCATTATTTAAATGTGACTATTTTAATATGATTTGAAAGGAAATACACAACACTTGTTTGTAAACAAACAGATAATGTCCAAGAGACAGATGGGATACTGTTTAGTGGTTGCCATGGAAGGTATTGATTCATGATTATCAACATGGGAAATCATATGATTTCTCTGAAAAGTGTTTACACAATATAGACACTTTTGGTCAGTAAATAAATACATAGCCTAATGAATATTATTAATTTGACTGGAACAGGTTAACATCAAATTTCATATTTAATCAATATTAATTTTTTGAAAAAAAAACCCTGGCTAATCCAGCAAAATTTGTAGTACAAAAGGTGCAAAAGGTGCAATACCCATACTGATGCATTTATTCAAAATTTAAAATTTTCTGCATTGTGTGAAAAATATAATATTTTGTAAATACCAGTATTGTTTACAGTAAATAATAATATTTCAAACCCAAAAGACAATATCCTTTGAATTTGCCTTTATTGTACCTACATATTTTTTTTTACAATAAAGGAAGCTGATTTCTTCTTTCCTCTAGTAAAACCATAGTGATTCCAAAAAAGTTTTCTTTTCTTTACAGTTCTTAAAAATAATTTCCTAATTTAATTCCTAAATAAATCTATCAACATGCTCAGAATTCACGGTTTCTTCATGAAAAAATATGCACACTTTTGTTAAATCCACCTAATAGTTATCTCAAATTAATAAAAATGTTGAGTGTCAAACAAATAAAATTGAATAATAGAAGATAAGATAATTTTAACAGTCCAATAACCTTGTAACTGAAGTCAAACAAAACATGACAGCCTCTCCTCTCGAAATATAACTGCCTGCTGATACAGGAAACAAATATAAACTTTGTTCTTTGATTTTGTTGATGCTTAAATAATAGTAGTAGTACCTATTGTTTATCAATACTATTGCATGGCATTTAAGGTTTTTTGTTCTTTGTTTTACATAAGTTTACACAATATACTCATGTCAATAATTTAAACAATGTGTTTGTGATACGGTATTCACATAAACCTATTACTGAGTGAAAATTTAAAAACGTACGTTTTCAGGAAAAGCACTTTGCAAATTTTTTTCACCTTTTTACAAAACTTTTATTATTTTTTTGATTTCATTAACATTTGAAGTTTCATAAAATGTCCATGGTAACGCAATATCTTTGGTAATTTCTTTTTAAAAGAGCATCTTTAGTGGAAAAACACAAAATCCTGTCACGACCATAACGGACATTTAAATGAATATTAAAAATAGTTAATATTATTTTTATAACTATGTTTTGCTATAAACTAATTTACTTTTATGACTATTATACAATAAAAAGGTCACTGAGCTTTTGGTATATTTGGTCTTTCTAGAAAAAAATAAAAAAACTCAAAAAACTGAAAAAAGCCAATAAAATCTTTTTAAGTTTGTATAACTCCGAAAAAACTTACCTGAGACACGAAAAATCGTTATGTTTGTATAGAGGTGTGCTTCTTTTGTATATAAAACATTGAAATATGACGATATTTTAATTTTTGAAATTTTTATGATAGAAATCATAAACGTGATGGTCAGGGACAAGCGGTATGGTCGTGAATTGTCTGGAATAATCTAAATCTTTCTAAACAATCCTTCAATTATCCTGTTAGTTATAATAAAAATGTGTGTTTCAATTGAACTAAACCGTTCAATTTACAATTATATTAAAGTTATTGTCACGACCAAACACACTATAATCCATAAGGCTGGATTGGTCGTGAAAAAAACCCGCAATGGTCGTGAAACTTTGGTCGTGAAATTACGTGTTATTTGGCTCTGTTCTGGCGGTAGCCCTGCACCTCATGTTTGAGGATACAAAGTGGACTTCTAGGTTAATCTAGCAATTGAAATATCTTATAAACAAAAATTAACACCATGTCTACTTCATTGAATGACTACGTACGGTCATGGACACACCAAAATTACAAAAAACACAATCTTTCCTTTATTAATCTTGTAATTCCTCCTTTCAACTCGAAACGACCGGCACTACAATCTTGACGTACACCCCGAACTAGTCTCTAAAACCAACTGACTCCATCGACGCCAGTCTTGCCACTGTCGTGCTCCAAAGTTGACAAATTTTCCCAAATGGTCGTGGCGCCAAATCGAGGGACAGACTTATTATGTCATGGTAGTCAGTTTGTAATGACAATAAAATTATAATATGCTCCTTTTTTGTAAGTTTAATAACCATTGATGACATAAAAATATGGCTTTATATATTTCGGCATGAATAATTAGTCTAAAAACAGCGTGAAAGTTGGAAAATGTACCCTAGGGACACGTCATGGTCGTGAATTTCGATACTTTAAAAATACGAAAAAAATACCTAGACCCTATTTTAAACCGAATAAATGTGTGTAGCATGTTGCCCCCGTCCCAAAAAATATTAAAACACATAATAATAAACTACAAATCCAGTATCTACGAAGTAAAAGGCCAGGGACATGAAAACGTACGTTTTTAAATTTTCACTCTACTGTATTCTTGTATATATACAATAATTTTGTTTAATACTTGTATGAGTTTTGTATGATTATAATAAGGCTTTAACTCTGTAGGGGTTGAACAGAATGATAATTTTTAATAATGTGTGAGGCTAAAGTATACCTATTTAACCAAATTATCGTATATTTCAAAACATTTTATAGAGATAGTCTTTCAAATTCAACTTTGGAATTTGCTTGGATGGGTCTGAGGCCCGTGAATGGATGAACAAAAAACAAGACCTTGCCTTTCTTTTGAAAAATAATGGGAAATTCTTGAACAAACACTGAACCAAATTTGCATATTTACTTCCTGTTATTAGAGTAATACAAATTGCAAATTGTAGATGTATTTAGGTGATTTGTAATTTCATTGTGGGAAGAAAACAAACCTGTGAATTGAGTTTAAGTGGGTGTGAAATTAACACTGAGATTCCTTCAGGAAAATTACGTACGTTTATAAATGTTGTGTTTTCTAGTAAAAATCGTGTTTGTCATTTTATAGCCAATTAACCTTTTAGGGAATAAACTATAACCAAAAGTCTCATGGTAAGACCTGGGATTGTTTTACTTTTTCGTTTTGCTGTCCCCAGGGGCTAACAATAGGTTTTGTCATTTTTGACCCCCAAAACATAACATTTTGCAACTTTGTTCCAAACCATTTTGAAGGGATAAAAAAAATGTACTACATTATAAAGTGTTATTGTAAAGTCTAAGGGCCATGTTATACGGGCAACTTATTTGTTGCCGCAGCTTTTACGTCGGGTGTCAACCCTAATAGCATGGACTTCTCTGTGTGCAAGTTATACGATCCTTTAATCAGTCGTGTCGGACCCTGTAAAGTCAGCTTGAGCGTAAATTACTCGTCTGGACGGTAAACTGGTAGCAAAACACACCACGGCAATGACGCCAGTTTTGCAGTTGTTATAAGGCAGCTTTAGCGCAGCAGATCTGCTACCTCACCCCCACCACCGCTTCATATTAGTGTCGGTCTTTTGAATTTCCTCAAAAACCAGGTCAAGCAGCTCATCGAAAGAAGAAACGGACATCCTGCGGTACTGGTAAAACTTATCTTCGTAATGTCTATTTAGTGCGAATTTGGTGTGAAAAATCCCTGATGTAGACAACCGCGGCTACTTAATACAGGGTGTGCCCCTACGCCTCTCCTTACTTTTTGACATCAAGATATGTTTTCAACAAATATTGGAAACCGACACAGCCAATTTGCACTGCATCCATCTTGAAAAGTGAATACTGTAGCAGACTGTAGACCTGATCCGCAAAGTCAGGCATATTCAGCATTCGGCAGCCTTCGGGCACCCTCGGTACCTGTCACGGCGATTTTGTTGCTCGTATAACAGCTCAACCAACGTACGTTCATGCAGTTAGGTTTTTTATGATCAGCTTGTGGTTGAGCGTATCTGCCGTCACAAAGCTGCTCGTGGCTCTAATAGTTACAGAAGAAATAAATAAAACTGAAAATTTAAAATCCCTATGTTTTTTTTTATCTATAAAATCCAGTGTATGTTTGTTTGTATGTATGTTTGTTTGTTTGTCCTTTATGGACTCCGAAACCGCTCGACAGTTTGTAATGAAACTTTCAGGCATTATTAAGCATTATTCAAGGGTGGTTTGTGTGAAGTTTGGTGCAGATCTGTCAAAAGGGCTCCGCCCCAGTGGCTCTGGAGTTTCCCATGTTAACCTTATGAGTACTCTATTTAAATGGAATTAAAGAATCTTTACAGCTGGTTCAACTAAAGAATTTGATTCTGTGATGTTCAAAAGCATTAAAAAGTTAATAGGTTTTACCAACAGGGTGCAGCACTATTGTTTTTTTTTTATTTATGACAACAGCTAATTTGCAACCAAAAGGTGAGTGAGCGTAGCAATGGAACTTCAACCTGGAAGTGAGTTAGCGTAGCGAACAAGCTAACCTGAAGGCAATTGAGCGCAGCGAACGAGCTCCAACCTAAAGGTGAGAGAGCGTATCGAACGAACTTCAACCCAAAGGTGAGAGAGCGTAGCGAACGAACTTCAACCTAAAGGTGAGAGAGCGTAGCGAACGAACTTCAACCAAGACGTGATTGGAGCCATGCGATCGAGCTCATCTTGAAAATGAACGAGCATGTTTATTAATAAATCTTTTTATTTCGTCATCAAAATTCTTACTAAGTCTCTAAACTACCAAGTAATAGCCTAAATAGTAATTGTATCTCCATTCTACATCCAGGACAGAAAAACTACTATGTAGAGTTGGCCTTGAAACTCTAATATGATTTTATGTTTGTCATATATTTTGTATGCTGTAAATAGTCTCCTAATTTGTATTGCTTAACTGTTTCAGGGCACAACATTCCCAGCTCTGAGCACACTGCTGGCTCAATGGGCTCCACCATTGGAGAAAAGCAAATTGTCCAGTTTATGCTTTGCAGGTAAGACTTTGAATGAATAACACAGTGTTGAAACAAATTGTTTCTACCAGTTAGTTGTATAAAATAATCATTTATTTAGCTATATTCTGATACAATTGGGTGTGTGATAACAGTCAGAGAGCTCATTTCCTACTACTGGATATTGAAGATTTAAATAATAAAATATACAGTTACCTTGTTCAATATCCTTTGGTATTGTATCATAATAGACTGAATAAGTTAATGTTAAAGAAAAGGCTTGAATTTAGGTGGAATAAACAATGAATCTAATAGAGAAAAAACATACTGTATAGAGAAATCTCTTGAAAAAGTTTTTAAAATTAACTAAGGTAGCTTAGAATCTTGGGTACACTGTATTCCGTTGTGTACCTTTGCTTAGATAACTTTAGTTACTTCACTACAATATGTAGTCATTTACTACAAGGATCTTGGAGTTTGGCGATAAAAGGAAGGTTACAGATGTTTTTTTTGTTTTTGTATTGTGTTTGTTGTACCTATAAAAATATTGGATTGTGCATCCGTTCATCATTCACAAACATTTACTCTGCGGGAACACAATTAGTCAGCGTTAACAGAGTAATTCGAAAACGAGGATATTGTGTACCTGATTGGAGGACACACTATAAAAATCTGATCTTTAATTGTACCCTGCCGAGTACAGGCATGTCTCAAAAAGGAGTTTAAATCTACTGACAGGGTCATTTTTCAAAAACAAACAATCAAAAACGGAGCCACAAAAGTTCTTCATAGCCGAAATGTTAGTTAATTAAAATTCAAATATTGAAATCAATGAGTAAAAAAACTAGATTCTTACAATTGCAGACACTCTAAGAACTCAAGTGACCAGTCCTAAATAAATCAACATATTTTAGGGTAATCCCCTATCTAAACAAAACTGGCTACTTAAGAACCATAAAAATCCATACAATGTTCCCTAATCCTCCATAAGTTGATAAGTTCCTCTCTTGCCCACAGGTGTACAGCTGGGAATGATCATCGCCACGAGTCTAGGAGGGATCATCATACAATATACAGCCAGCTGGGCCAGTGTATTCTACGTGTTCGGGTTGGTAGGTGTGGTTTGGTTTGTAATCTGGTGTCTCGTCTGCTACAACGATCCAGCGTCCCATCCTTTCATCACGGAAGAGGAACGGGCGTACTTGGAAGAGACTATTGGCTGTACTAAGAGGGATAAGGTGAGAAATCAATCAGTTCAATTTTTGTCCTACAAGGCCGATTTAAAATTTAAATACTTTGTCATGAGAGTGGATTTACAAAACCCTTTCTTATGCTGGATCACATCAACTAGATGTTAAATTTTGAACTGTATGAAATTTTAAAAAACTATATGCTCTTTACAATTAATAAATTATTTACTTAAACCTATGTAGGTACGATTGAATAGACTAAAGCACAGAGAAGTAAGATACAGAGGAAACATTCAATGGTACATTTAAGTGTGTCTAGCGCTAGTATTGGTATCTAGGGCAATGACTCCCTCACCATTATGTAGGACAACGCTCTTAGTGGAGGAAGACCCTGTGCCCTGTGTGATAGGAATTCCAATATTGCTCGCCGTTCAGGCCATCTATCTCCTTGAGAAAGTTTTGCCATCAAGGAAAATCAGTTGCTCCCATCAAAAAAATTAAAACCGAGTGCAGACCAAATTTGTGAGACCCCCCCCCCCCCTTAAAGAAAAGAAACTCCTACAGATTATTTATGTAAATATACCAAACCCCTCAACATACTAAACATCAAAATAATACTGTACAGAATGTTCCAAGCTTTGCCAGCTCAGTTCAGTCAGGGGTATGCTGAATCCTCCAAAGTCCAACCAAGTTGATTTTCTGTTCTCTGCGACTCATTCTTTGTTGTTCATCTACAGGACCTAGGAGGAACACCTTGGAAGACTCTTCTGACCTCAGCTCCTGTCTGGGCACTCATCATAGGAGAGTGTGGGCATGACTGGGGGCTCTACACTATGATCACAGACCTTCCCAAGTACATGAACGACGTCATGCACTTCAACATTGCACAGGTAAAATACAAGCTATATGGAAGCTTTCACATAAAATATTTTTGTAATTCTAGGGATTTATAGTAGTATCAATAGGTTCTACACGGAAAAATCTAGGCTTTAGAAAATGCGTAGGAATTCAAATTTATCCTAATTAAGGCTTAAAATAGTGAGGATCTCCTACTTTAGAGAGAAAGTTTTGATGGTTTGAAACTGCATTCAGCTGACCTTAATCATTGAGCTTTTAATAAACAGTCCTGGCTATGAAACCAGTTGATCTTAGTCAATGACAAAGCTCATTCATCTCATTCATTCAAAGCTCACCGTTCACTCATATGCCCCTATAGCCTTATGCACCCTAGGGTTTCAGCATCGTAATACTATTAACCTAATCTAAAGACGCTTGCAATCCGCTTGGAATTAATTATCACACTCCTTTACAACAATGTTTGATTTTTCTATCACTTGCAGATAAGTTGCAGTTGTGTTGACTGTTAGTGTGCTTATTGTATAGATTTTCCCAATTTTGTATAGTGTGGTGAAAAATAGAGTTTGTGCCAAGGGCTGATTGGGTTTTGCAGCTCTCGATCGTTTTATTTTCTCGACTCCGTCTCTAACTTAAAAACTATTTTGTGTCGGCAAAACCTCATTTTCGGCCCTAGGTACGAAATACACTATTTTGAGGACATCTTAGTAATCAAGGTAATCAAGTAAATACGGTAAATAAATAAGTAATTATATCAGTAGGTGTAAGTAATAAGATAATTTTGAAATAACTACCAAAATTTTGGGTAGGCCTGGGCCTGCCTGGACTATCCTCTAAAGCCGCCCTGCCACCCGGTTACTTATTCCGTATCATTCAAATTCATAATATTCTGTAATGTAATTACCACTCTGGAAATAGTCTACCAACTGTTTAGAGGTTCAATTAGGCTTACTAGCTCAACTGAATAGTGAACATCTGAACAAAGAAACAATCAAAAAGATGGAATAATATGAGTGTGCTCGAGGCGCGGGGATCATTTTGAGCAACGACAGATCTGAAAGTCATGGGAATTAAGTTTCGATAATGGAAGTGAAGGGTCCATCTGTTTATCAATTTTGTTAGTAAAGTGACAAACCTCAAATTGTACTTTTTTACAGAATGGGTTGGTATCTGCCATTCCCTATCTTACCATGTGGATTTGCTCCATCGCCATTGGAGCATTGGCAGACTGGTTGCTAGCAAGAGAAATTATCACGATAACACCAATGAGAAAAGTACTTGCCACTGTCGGTGAGTGGGATTTGGATTATCGTTCATTTTAATTCTTTATAGTTGATATTCATGGAATAAAAACCACTGGATTAGGATTGATTATAAAATATGGTTAGGGATCATCTGTAGATGATTTTATTTGTCATAAGACGCTAGGTACAATTGTTTTTCACATTAATTACTTCAGGCTAGACCTAGGGAATTTTATTTATCACTTAAATAAAATCCATCAGGGACTGAAGTCCCGCTCTCTAACCACTACCCTAGTGGAAGAGATCAATATATATCAATACAAAAATTGTATATTGATACGTATTGATACGTATGTGTATTTGGGCCAATACACATCAATACACATCAATACATATCAATACAAGTAAATAGGATCCGAGTCATTAGCTTTTTTGAAAATAATTTGTAGCTTGTTAAAAAACCATTTTTAATTTGTTTCAAAACATTAAATAATATCAACTATGCACTAAAAATAAAATAAAAATTAAAAAGTAAAAAAATTCTTGGCAAAAAGTTCAGTGGGATCCCGAGATTTGAACCGGGGACTCCAGCATGGAAGCCGGTCGTCCTAGCCATTACACCATGAGCACTTCATGTTGGATTGAGTAATGATTGCCATTTTGAATGCGAGAAGCTGTGTTAGGCCTCATAATTTAACTTGAAAAAGATTTTCAATGGCATTTGTGTCATTTCAAGCATGTAGGCCTACCTATATGCTTTAACATGTTTCAAAACTGTTTTATTACCAGTTCAAACTGTTTTCTTGCTACTTGGGTGATATGAATAGTGTCAATACAATTTATTTTTATTGATTTCTAGAAATAAGGAATTCAATAATGAATTTGTAAGGCATTTTTATCCCTAACGATAACCCAATAAGCAAAAAAATTGTTTAAAGTTGTCGAAAGCTGTATTAAAATAATTGTTGTATAACAATTTTTAAACATTTGGATTTAAACTTCATATTACAACAATTTTGATATAAGATTGAAACAATTTTAAAATTGTTTAACAATAAGTTTTTTGGAGTTGAAAAAAATAAGTTTCAATACGAGCTGTAACTGTTTTACAACAATTTTAAAATTGTTTTACAACGACTTTTTTGAAGTTTAAGAAAATCAGTTTTAATACAAGTTGTAAACTGTTTTACAACAATTTTAATGTTTAGCAATCAGTTTTTGGCAGTTTAAAAAATAATTTTTAATACAAGTTGTAACTGTTTTACAACAATTTTAATGTTTAGCAATCAGTTTTTGGCAGTTTAAAAAATAAGTTTTAATACAAGTTGTAACTGTTTTGCAACAATTTTAAAATTATATATTTTTAAATTACCTATATTGAGTTTTAGGTACCTCAGCTAACGCCTATGACCTAGAACCAGAGTTTTTCCTTTTTTCAAAAAATAACACTTTTATTACTGTTTATTTCACAAAGTTTACATTGGTATTTTGTATAATCCATAATGTTCATATGTGGTACTTTTTAGGGATATTTTGCATTTTATTTATCCGTATTGATGTCTATTGATTTATATTTACATCTAACATATTCAAAAAATATTCTCTATTGATATCAATGAACAATTTGTTTGCTCTAATGATCTATATTGATATATTTTATGTTTATAGATGTCTAGTGATATGTATTGACTAAGTTTTCAGTGATGTCTATTTGTTTGTATTTACTTGTAATGATATCCATGAACATCTATTGATATCACTAAGCATCTAGTGATATCAATAGATTTTTTCTATTGATTTCTATTGATGACTTCCACTAGGGTAGCTCGCTCCTCCTCTGAAGATTATAGTATAAGAGGAATGTTTATGTCCGCTAAGGTTTGAGTATGCTGATGTCTCCTCTTTGTCTATAAGTTATTTTACTAGTATATAAAATAAATCACTACAACTGTGATCTTACAAAATTAGTGGGAATCGGATTCGGTCATTGGTAATAATGTTACCTTAAATTTAATTGGGATGCAAATATGATCTAGTATAGGTATCTCAGTGTTCACAAGCTAAAGCAATGATTAACACGTTCGCTAACGAGCGACGCACATTTGCGTCGGTCCGGTCACTCCTACAGACCAAAAGGAATGATCATGACGTTGCTTACAGACCAAGTGATATAGGAATAACATTGCCGACAGACCTAAAGAGAAATATTGTTTAAATGGACTAATTGACTTCATATTAACCTTAAGTGAATTAGTAAGCAATAAATATTGTTTTTATTTATCGTTTTGAGCAAATTATAAAACGCCGCATATATGCGTCGGTCAGTCTATTTAATGAAATCCAGTTAAAAAGATTACATTTTCGTTTCAATAGACTAGGCGACGCACGTAAGCGTCGTTGTAAATTTGGTTGTTTCAAGCTTTTACACACACAAATAAAGAAACTCCACTAAACACTAGCCAAAACTGCAAAGGTTATAACGTTTACATCTGTTCTGTGATGTCGGGGAATACACAATGTAAACAACAATGTTGCCAACTGTTGTGTGACGTAACCAATCGTCATATCCACAGACCAAGCGACGCACATTTGCGGCAGATATCCCTCTAGACCGATACGATAAAATCAGGGCTTTCAAATAGACCGTTGCTAAGTATTAAGTAATACGCTGATTATTAACATTGAACACCGACGCAACTGTGCGTCGTTAGTCTATTTCAATGTGACCAGCTGACGCAAATATGCGTCGGTGGTCTATTGTGAGAAACGAGTCGACGCACAATTGCGTCGCTGGTCTATGCGAACGTAAATTCCATATAATTGTGGTAGCGAACGTGTTAAAAGAACAGTAACTTGACTTATATATCTGATAAACATGACTATTTCAGCTGAATTATGCTGAAAAAGTGCAAAAATGATCTATTTTGGATAGCATTACTTATTTTAAATGTTTCCAAGATGCTCTCCAACCGATTTTAGATTTACAGCCAAGAAAGCTTTTTTTCAGGAAATGGTTAAACCAGTAGCATCTGTCACTGCCACATTTTGAGAATAGAATATAGGTATTCAGATTCAAAGAGCATCATGACACACGGAATAACTTAAAAGAAAGCCTACTGTAAAGAATAGCTAAAACCAGAGGTGCCCATCCCCCCCAAACCCAGAGGCGCAATCCCCCCCCCCCCAATTTATGCTGTCGTCTATTTAAACCTACCCTCCCCCACCAATTTATCTGACAATTTCCCCTTTACCTCATAGAACGAGCATTTCAAGTATTTAGTAAACTTGGAGGTACAAAAAACAAACTTGCTGATAAGCAAAATTAAATGTTTAATAGGAAACGTCATTTAACAATACATCATTATATCTAACTTATGGTTGAATTAGAAGTTTTTCAATTTACAATTCCGAATTTGTGTTGTCAGCCAACGTCTGACAACGTTTGTTGTAGACAACGTCTTCAAAACATTCAACAATATACTCGGTGAATTAGGCCTACTCTACTCCAACACAGTGTACTGTAACTGTACAATTTATTAGGTGGCGTTAATTTTTACAGGGCTTAAGAATTCAATCCGCATTTGAGTGCATTAATAATATTTTGGAAAAAGTATCTTGTTTCAAAATTATAGACAGAGTCTTGAAATAAAACTGACTTGTTGCTCGCCACTCCCAGGCTACCTTCTACAAAAATCGCCGGGCAAAATACCCACAATACCTTAATTGCCACCAGTACAAAAGGTTTTGGTGACGAAGTAATCTTATAATACATGTTGATAGCCCCAGGATTGTCTTTTATGAATAATAATGGTAGAAAGGCATCTTGTCAGACAATCCGTTTGTACACAAAACACACAGCGATCAGATAGGCCTATCAATTCACACGTGTATATTGCCGCGGGCAGGACTGGAAGTAAACTGAATCTGGTTATGACAGAAAGATGTGGTCACTGGATTGTCGTCTGTGTTATCAAAAGGTGATATTGGACTAATTGTAGTGACGGAGGAGAGTGTTATTGAAAATATAATGGGATTCATAATTGAGTTTCCCATTCAAAATTATTGAAAATAATAACCAATTTATTTGCTGGATATAAAATGATGGTCTCGAAATTCTACAGTACTGCACGAAAGGAAATTTATTAAATACTTTGAGGAGTTTGAAATATACATAAAACTGGAGACAGCACAAAATTTTTGAGTGAAAACACTCAATTAATTATGAATCCATTATATTTTCAACACTCTTCTCAGTCACTACAATAGTCCAATATCAGCTATTGAAAACGCAGACGACAATCCAGAGACCACGTCGGTCCGTCGAACATGAACCTGAGATTCAGTTTACTTCCAGTCCTGCCGACGGCAATGTACACGCGTGAATTGATATAGGCCTATCTGTAATCGTTTCGTGTGTTGTGTTAAATGTTTGTAATGTATTCTGACGACACCTCCAGAAGGGGATCTTTTGTAAATCCTGACGATGTTGGAGTTAAAGAACCACCAAAACATATGTAGCAAGTAAAATTCGACACTGTTAAGGATTGTATGACAAAGTGCGTATATTTACCATTCTTAGAAGCAATCTTAATTACGAACGGCAAAATGTTGTTGGTGTTGATAGTGAGCTACTTAGAAACATTTTTTCGGACTGCTTATACAAAATTATACATTCATTATGACAGCTAGCAAAAAAATATCCCCCCCAAAATCCCCTCAAAAATAGTCCCCCCCAAAAATTCCTGTGGCGCAAACGCGCCACAGTACCCCCCCTCTGGGCACCCCTGGCTAAAACTGGTACCAAGGCTATGGCTACTGAATGGTGGTATTTTGTACTGACTCTGGTATCGCTGATTTTGCAGGTGCCGTAGGCCCAGGCCTGGGTGTAGTCCTGGCGTCGTACGCAGGTTGTGACAAGTTCCTTGTCACTGTTCTCTTTACCATCGGTATGGGTCTGATGGGATTCTGTTACGCCAGTTTACGAGTCAACTCATTGGACCTGAGTCCCAACTACGCTGGTTCTATTATGGCTTTGGTCAACGGCTTGTCGTCCGTGTCTGGGATGGCAACACCATACCTTATCGGAGTTTTGACGCCAAATGTACGTACAAAATTTGTGATTTTAGTCAGAGATTTTCTTTTCTTGGTAAACTTTTCTTTGCTCATGGAGCATTCATGTAGTCTTACTTATCTTTTTTAAGCACTCATCATAAATTAACTTTAAAAAAAACTTGTAAGTTCATGTCACCTAAGAGAGTGTACCAAAAACGAATGTAGGATATCAATCAACTTTTTCAGTCTTTAATCAATACAGTATTGTAATTGACATCGTCATTATTACTTGTCAGGGCGGAAACTACTAGAGTTAAGTATGAGTAAATCATTCCCTATCTAAAGGATGAAAAACTGTTCAGACTCTCATTTGTAAGACCCAACAATTTAGTAGAGTGTAATATATTTCCAAAATTGTTCAGTTGAAGAATTAAAATAAAATTGTCAATCAAAACTTTCCACTTATAGGTGATGACAAAATTATATTCAATGCTAACCTACCCTTCTATTTGTACGAAGTAAGGTTATTGCTGAATAACAGCCTTTATTCGAAAAAAAAATCGATGAGATAAACCAGTAGAACATCACAAACAAATTGTGTTCATCTATATAAATAAAATTAGAGTTTTGTCTGTACATTGCTTAGAATAATGAACTTTTTGGTTATTTTTACATTTCATAGGTCAGAGAAACCGAATCAAACCTTATCTCAATTTCTGTCTGTCTGTCTGTCTGTCTGTCTGTCTGTCTATCTGTCATTCTCTTGGTAACGCTAAAATACGCACTTTATTACAACTACTCCTCAATAACTATAGCACTGTCCCGCCTGAAACTTATTTTCCAAATACTATACATATATGAGATGGTTTTAGACGTATTTCATCGAATATGAGACAGTTAGATATTTAACAGTAAACCCTTGAAAATCAAGTTTTTGTCGATTTTTGACGTGGAATTTCTGGAAGCCCATGTTAACCTTATGAGAAATGAAATTATTGAATCTTAACAGCTGTTTCAATTAAACAAGTTGGTTCTGTTCTGTGATGTTCAATAGCATTAAAGTTACAAGGATTACCAACAGGGTGCAGCACTAGCACTATTATTTCTTTTACATTTATGACAACAGCTAATTTGCAACCTGGAGGCGAGTGAGCGTAGCGAACGAGCTAACCTGAAGGCAAGTGAGCGTAGCGAACGAGCTAACCTGAAGGAAAGTGAGCGCAGCGAACGAGCTCCAACATACAGGTGAGTGAGCGTAGCGAACGAACTTCAACCAGGACGTGATTGAGCCATGCAAACGAGATCAGATAGTAAAAATAAAAGTAAGCCTACCGTTATAGGATCGACCGGCAGACACAGAGGTAATTTAACCTTTTATTGATTGTCATACCGATCCGGAACAACAAAAAACAACATAAAATGAAGCTATGTATAATAGTTTGGCCAGCATATCTTAAAATATGCAAACCAACTGCTGTTCGTTATATAAGAAGGTTTCAACTGAATATTATAAGATCCCCGTGCGTAGAACGGGTACACAGCTAGTCACCTCTAAAATAAGAAATGCGCAAGAAAGTATCACAAGACACTCTGTTACGATGATTAGCTCACATTATTAATGCATATTAGTGACAAAGCTGGCATTTTGTCATTTATTTTGAAACTTTTTCAGAGATCATTGCGAGAATGGCGAGTCGTCTTTTGGATCATGTTCGCAGTTCTGTTCTTCTCAAACTGTGTGTTTGTATGGTGGGGCTCCGGAGAGGTGCAGCCGTGGAACGACCCAAAGAAAGAAAAACAGAGGCTTCAGAATGGAAAACAGTCACCCACTAAAGAAAAATTTGATTTGGGCAAAGATACAAGAGACGGCAAAAAAGCACTTCCTGATGTTTAGTGTCATTTCAAAAGTATTTATTTATTATCGATACCCGGTAGGAACTTTTTTTGTAATTTACAAAAAAGTTGAGAAGCTGAAATGCTTTATACAATGTACATAGATATTTTGTAAATATACTTTAGACGGTAATGTTAGTTTTGTAATTCTATATGAGTTTATATTTTAATAAATATGTGAAACCTTTGCAAGGTTTTTGAATCACTGAGCCTTGAATTTAAAGTGAAGAAAGTACACAACAGGTTATAATTAAGGTGTGGAAATACTATTTCATCAAAGAGTTTAATCAGAACTGATCACACAGTTGTTTGATCAGCGTTGCAAACTAAAAACTGGGACTGGGATGTAAGGTAAAACAAGGCCCCACTAGAAAAACAGGCCATGCTGCAGTGCAGGCGGCGCAAAACTACGTCACAGTGGTGGATAGTTGTGTGACAAGGTGCCGAACAAAACTACAAACTTTGGAACAAATAATATATTATAATTAAAGAACTTAACTTTTGACTTGCTGTACCGTTCACAGAGGATTCAATTTAGACTTATTAACAAATTTATAAATACAACTAGCTGTACCCGCGGGCTTTCCCCCGTTTAACTGCATAAGTGAGCTCGTTCGCATGGCTCAATCACGTCTGGTTTGCCTTTTATATATATATAGATTCTAGCTTAAGAGAAAAATAACAATTGTGAATTGGAATCCGCGGTATAGCTTTACAATGCTAAGTTAAAGATTATCATTTTTTATTCCATTTAAGAAAAAGGAGGAAAGGGGATGTAGAAATTTAGGCGACCGACCAAAATGAATTTATAATTTAGACCAGCTTTAGCAGATTTCTCTCCGTTCGTACCCAGGTTAGCTGTGGAGAGGCATCAGCTAATCAACGTTGCGGCTATGCCGTGTGACGTCAGTTTGTTCGCTGTAAGGTGCTGCTTCCTAACAATCACTTGGGGCGTTAGACAAACTGTAGTTGCGCAGTTAATTGGTCCAGCGAGGAATTTGCTGAGCAGAGCTCTGCAAATTCCAGCCACATGCGTGACACTTATGGGATATGGCAGAGTGAATCTATCAATAATTCATCCATTCCATCTTAAAACACATCAATACCCAGGTATCACTATTTGCGGTATCTATGTTGGTTCTATCCATCCACTATTGGTTGTGTATTGCAAAAAAAAACTGTTGATAGATAATTACCGGTAATACCATCTCACCTTTATGAAGAACCTTTTCTATAAAGTGTTATGTAAGAAAAAAGTCATTATTTCAAATTTCTTAGGTACGGTATACTAGAGTGGTTTTCACCAATATTGTGTTCACAGTTGGATATTTGTATACCACTTAAACTTAGGCAGAGATTAAAATTGAAATGATACTTCATTTACTATAAATTAGCTATAATGTAAATAAAAATTAAATTTTGTACAAAATCTTAGAGAATAAAGATTTGATCAAATTGTGGTTTACTGTACCTTGCTATTTGCTCTAAAGCACGTCAGAAACTTGATGGATTGGTTAAAAATATTGAGTCTGTCAAAGATTTTTTACTTTTGTTTTTCTTCTTCCTGCCAGTTTTTAGCCATATTAATTTACCATTAACTTTATATCCGTGGAAGCCGCTAACTTTAGTACAGATTATTTCGAGCAAGATGATTTTTGTCTGTACAAAAAATCATAGAATTTGTATCAAATTTTGAAAAAGATGAATAATACTTAATACTTTTAACTAAAATTGCAACCATACAAAGGTGGTATTTTGTGCCAAGTATGAATGGAGATTAAGAAAAAGAATAAAAACTAACATTCCATTGATTAGGAAATTGAAAGGTAAGCCTTCTTTCCTGTCAATTTCCTAAACAATTAGTGGCTAATGCTTTTTATCAGATAACGTTCAATTGAGCCAATGACAGAGTGCTGATACAAATTACTGATTTCTGTTGAATTTATATTTGCCAACTACTGTTTGAGCAAGCCAAAATGAATGGATAAGCTGTTGTCTTAAGTTGGGTTTTCCTAGGCGCAGAGCACGGAGTGCTCTCCTCTTTTCTTTAGTAATTTAAATATATTGGTTCCCCAGAAACGGAGCAGATCACCACTGGATGAGTGGAAAATTACTTCTCCGCGACTATAAAACACAGCTTAACTCATTCCTAACATTCTTTATGTAACATCAACTTGGTATGACACTTATCATAAATTGACAGAGAACATTTGATTTTATACTGAAGCATAATCTCGAAGTGGCTCACTAACTGTGATCTTGTTTAGTAAAAATTGGCTACAGCTGGTCCATAAATGTCTACCTACTTTACTGACCAAAAGTCAATGTCGCAGATGGGAAGAGATCTCTTCTATCAATGTCTATCATGCCATTTACCAACTACCATTGGTATTTCATACCTTTAATGCCTAAACGAGTATTTTATGGACATCTTGTATCTCATAACACTCCCAACATATTAGATAAGACCTGAATGAATGTTCAATCAGTTTTGAAGCAAATGGTGTCGAAATCTAAAATTCAAAGCAAAAACAGAATATTGGCAAGTATTTTGAAGGAATGAGTCAACTTTATTGACATTTTATTTAACAGATCTTCATTTTGTTAGACAAATTAAGAATCTGTCAACACGAAATAGATGTTAAGTGAACAGTTTTTAAAATAATAGAGGAACTGACAGATTACACATAGATACATTTTAATAATTTATTAATTGTATAATGCTACTATAAATATCATAAATATCTAGAAAAATAAAGCACAGGTGCAAGTTTTAGTCAATGATTAAATTACTACTATATGCCAGCACATAAATAGTTATGTTATAAAAACACAAGAAATATAGAAACACAGTTTCATTAACAATAGAATTTCTCTAACAAATTGTTACCGATTCAGTTTTGTAGGCCACATCCGAAAAAAAAAACCAATGGTTAATATTGTTAAATAGTTAAACATAAATATTAACCTTACATGTGGCTTAGACATAGAGGTTTCTGAACAAAGATGTTAAAGCATTTTCCTACCACTAGGGGTTTGCAGCCAAAATACAAAGTTCAACGTAGGCCTTGAGAAAAGAGAAATTAGAAGACTCACAGGACTAAGTAAGTGCAAGAAAATCGATACTACAAAATCTACTATCTATCACAAATCCTAAATACTATTCTACAAAAAATATCCATAGACAAATCAAGTAACAAATAAGTATACAAGATTCAACATGTAATTCACAAAGTAATTTAAATAGAGGTAATAAATATATAGTTGTAACATTTTCACACACGTTTGACACACTAACATTTAATTATTGTACCTACACTCCAAACTGCAAAGAAACTTAATTTCAACCGTATGTACATTAGCTTATTAGGCCCAGACTGTGAAATTCCAAATCATCTAAATTAGGCTTTATAAACTGTTTTCAAACAATTCCAGCAGATTAAAGAAGAAAAAATTTGTTTCCAACTACTAAAATGTGAATAACTATTAATTTAGGATTGTTGATTTGTTTAATTTTGAAATAGGCTTTTACTTAATTAGTAATAATTTTCGACTAGCATTAAATTCCTACATTATACTAAAATTAGAACATCATACTGAATTATTGGGTAATATTAGATGTTATTATTGCCATACTAAACACCATTGTAAAGTCATCACAAACGCTCATTCGTTAAATAGGTTTTACACACTGTTTTATTTTCAATTTTGCATGTAAGAACAAGTGTGAACTGAGACTAAAAAACCAGGTGATAGTGTGTGGTATGAATCGGTACTTTGGTATTATCCACTTATTTTAGAGGGATTTTTTAAACGGAGACAAAAAATAACTACATGATTGGAAAGAAGATATTTTAATTGACTTACTGTCCAAATTTGACATGATTACCATTAGCGGCCTTCTCCCCCTCACAGAAGAGTTCTGCCTCACAGAAGGCAGCGATGTCAGCGAGAATTGAGTTGAAACGGAAGCCACCCTTATACAGCGTGCTGCAGCGGTTATGGTAGGTTGGGTTATCATAAATATGTTTGTAGGTCTTTCCTCGTTTTGTTCAAAAGAACGTCACTCATTATAGAGACAAAACTAACCTAGTGCACGGCAATAATTTACTCAGGGCACAGACCCAAATACAGAGTGTGACAGGTTATGCGCGCGGTCAACGACCTGACCTTGGCCTACTTGGAGGGGATTTGGCGGGAGAAAGTATGACTCATCTGGTATCGTTCGAATCATAACGAAACGAGGAAAGTCCTACAATCATGTTTGTGATAATCCAAACTAACATAACCGCCGCAGCGCACTGTATAAGGGTGGCCTCCGAATAATACCAAAGTACCTATGAATCTATGCAAAGTAAAGTTTAGGAGTAGCCTATTTTAAATTAGAAACTGTTAACAATTATTAAGTTTACCTAAATAAGACCAGCTTGAGCTCCATTATTTGTGATACCAACCGGTATCTAAAAATAAATATTACTGTAGGTACTAATACTTGAGTTTTTAAGATCAAAACTTTGCCAGCTTTCGTTATTTCATGCACATTTTCACATTTAAATATTACAATAAGGCACAGTATAAAATATTTGAAACATTATAAACTTTGGCAGCTAAAAATATTAGCCTATGATTGCATTGATGGAATGACACTTTGGAAGTCAATATAAGTAATATCAAAAATATTGTTGTGGACCCTACAATAAAGGCATATAGGCCTAATCTTTTACTCCATTATGTGGATAAGTAGTAGGGTACCGGTATTCACAAATCATGAGTTCCAACAATTCTAGAGATAATGGTTACTTAAATGAAGTTGAGTTTACACATGTTAGTATTATTAATTCCAGGTAATTTTCAACCGAGACTACATATATTAAACAAAAATTACAAAGTTATTGCTCTGGGTGATTAAGTGGCATTTTAATATGTATTTGGCAAGGATGGAAATTTAAACTGTGGAATAGTTAAATTTTCAAGTAAATGTAGGTAGCATAATAACCTGTAAAATTATCATTAACTGTTACAAAATTTAGTCCTCTCTGCTACAAAATACTAACGGACTTAAATTTGTGTGTTTATTCTTAAATAACCATTTTCTATGAATAAAGAAAATTGTAGAAGAAGTAAAAGTATATCCAGGTACTTACATGACATTCAGTCTACTTACTAACGTTCACTTCGTCATTCACACTCTGCATGAAAAAATCATGCTGCAACGCATTCATGGCACTGATACGTTGTTTGGGGCTGAAAACAATCATCCTTTCCAGCAGATCTTTACCCAACTCGGATATTTCTGGAAGTACTCGCTGCAGAGGCAACTTTTGGTGTTGTTCAAAACTGGAGTACATCAAAGATGAGTTTTCGGGCCACTCATTTTCAGGTGGGGTGCCGATGATTTTGAATATTTTATGCAGCTGGTCGCCTTCTGAAGTTCCGCAGAAGAATGGTGACCGCTTGTACAGCTCGCCCATGATGCAACCGCAGGACCAAATGTCTACTGATGAGGCGTACGGCAAAGCGAGGATGATTTCTGGCGATCGATACCACAATGTGACCACAACCGTCGTCAACCGCATTTCATAATCGTAAGTCTTGGCCAGACCAAAATCCGTCAGTTTCACCCTCCCATCATTAGAGACTAGTATATTTTGGGGTTTTAAATCACGATGGATCACTCGGTGGGAATGGAGGAAATCCACCCCAGAGAGGATCTGATACATCAAGTCACGGATTTTACTTTCACTAAATCCGGGTGGTGGGCATCTCTCGATGTACTTGGCGAGATCTTGGTCAATGTGTTCAAACACGAGAAACATTGCAAGTGATTTCTCCTTCTCCAGCATCTGTCCGTGACAGACGTCCAGCAGCCGGACGATGTGAGGATGTTCGTGTCCGTCCAACTGTTTGAGCATTGCGATCTCTCGCAGCGTTGAGATGGGAATGCCTTCATCAGTGCTGGGGATCACTATCCTCTTCAGAGCGACAGTGGCGCCGTTGTTTGTCAAGTCTCGACCCTTGTACACAAATCCATGGGAACCGTTTCCGATGAGTTTCGTCTGCTCGTAATTGTTCTGACGCAGGATCTCATCATCCTGGTCGAAACTGTTCTCGTACTTGGATCCAGGCATTGTGAGGTTGAGCCAATGGGGACTAACTTTCAGAAACCCTGAAAAAAAGTAAAAAAATTAATTCGTAAAATGAGTGTGAAAAGTATTTTATTTAAAAATAAGAACCATGTTTTATAAGGACACACCCACACCATGTTACGGTTGGCCGTTGGGACTGCCATGTTGGCGAGACCAAAGTGGCAAAGCCAACTGCTAGCCTCCTGTTTAAATTGGTCGCACAAGGTCTCAAGAGTCACTTAATAATAATTGAAAATAGTAAAAATATTTGCAAACAACTGTTTTGTGTGTTCCCAGACTTCAAAGTAGAGCACAATATGGAACAAGTGACTTAAGGGATAAATTTTTTGATGACATTGACAAACTGAATCTGCAATTACAGATCCCCACACCAAAGCTAGTTAGCATTTTATATTAAAGCATCTTGTTTTTTTTCTGTTTTTGTACTCTTTCATAAGACAGTCCCACAGAACAGAAAGATCTCGGTAGGCCTATAGATTAATTCATTTAAACAGTATCCTTCCACTCCATGATAGTATACGATGCTGTGCAAGACACAACTGAAGCTGCATTGAGCCAGTGGTTGGCACATCCACACCAGGGTTGCAACCCATCCCCATTCTGTGGGGACAGTCCAGACTTCGGTCCCTTGTGCCCGTGTTTATGCCTAACTATGTTAATCAGGGGGAGGGGGGGTTTGATTTTCCTCGCTCACATTGGCTTTCTTTACTAAGAAAAATAATCTAATTTCCAAGGGTCTAAGTTGTAGACGAGGAGAGGACTGTGGATCGATAATAAGTAACTTTTGTGTTCACAGACTGCAATACTTTAACCAATGGTTTAATTGTGCACTTTCTCTAGGAGCGACCATGCTCCTTTTGACACTTCTGTGATGATGTTGATGTCAACTGGATTAAGCAAAAGCTTTAAATCTGAGATGAACTGAGCATTATGTAAATAGTAGAGAGGTTAGAATAAAAATACCTGAATGCTTTAAGGAAATAGTTCGGGAACCAGCTACGCTGTAGATCAACATAGCTAGTATTTGTAATTTGATAATAGGAGATGATAATTCACTTGGTTTAGAGGGAGGCTGTGTGCAGGAACAGTTTTACTTAAGTCAGGGAACTATTGGGTCTGGACATCAGAAATCGGAAAGCAGTGTTATCATTGTCAGATTAGTGGCCGAGGAGGTGAATCTGGTGACACAGTCAGAAACAACACCTTCACTAATTAAAATACATGTTTTAGCCCCTGAGCTAATAACTAAAAATAGGTTTTACCTTAGTCAATGCAGCTGAAAAAGTGTAACTACGTTGGTTACGGCCGATTCCAATGCCATCGTCAGATAACGAAATATCGGCTGAATAGCATCATTGAAGTTAAAACACATAACATACACGAACAATACGAATAAAATTTAAACATTTCACAAAAACAATCAGGCCTGTCGTACTAACTGCAACGTGTGTGTAATGCCGTAACCAACGTAGTTACACCACTGGAGCTGCATTGACGAAGGTAAAGCCTATTTTTACCTCCACTAACTTAAGTTGTTCCTTGGGTAAAGAATCAAAATCATAAATATTTGTAATGCAATTTGAGACAAATCCTCTAGATAAATTGTGGATATTTATAGGCATGCACTGTGGATGCGATACTCCCTGGTGTGGATTAACGTCCGCATGAGTGAGTACTAAGACTATCCGCAGTACTATCCTGATAATTAGACCAATTCGTATATACCAAGGAAAAATGTGGTTCGGATTCCACTATAAACTGTAGGTTCCTTAGTTGCCATTAGCTGTAGGCCTATGGGCTATTAATTAACAGCTGAGTCTAAGGAATGTCGGCCTTAGTCACTAACAAGACTACAAGATCGCGCCACTCATCCAACACTCATCTCCATTCATACTTGGCTTAAAATACCTACTTTGTATGGTCGCCATTTCATTGAACAGTATTAGGCCTAACAGTATTAACAGTATTAACAGATGTTTTTCATTTTGTTGCCAAGAGCCCAATATTGCGGCAAATCAGAATATTTTGGTTTGGTTTAGAGGTGTTATCCTGGGATGATTTCATAGCCTTGTTGAACAGGTGAACGGGGCTTGCCTATTCCTACGGCGGACTTGGCGGTACGGGCGGAAACTATACAGGAGTTTAATTATTAGCCTACCCTTTGTTTTATTCCCAGGCTCCGAGCACTCTTTTGCTACAGACATCCTTTGCAATAAAATGAAGGAAAAAACCATCAAATAATGAACTAAGATAATGGTGAGTAACAGAATAGAAAGGTAATATTTTTAGGGTCTATAATATTTGTTCTTTCCACATTTTAAATCGAGTTATTATTAAGTGTTTGAAAACCCGGCAGAGGAGCTATGTGGTTCATGTAGGAACAAACAGGAAAACATGAGTTTGTTGTGTGAAGTCACAATGTAAGTCCCTTCTTTACTAAGTTTAGCTATAATTTGAAAATGTTGTTGTAAAAATATAGGCCTAAGTTCATAGGGTGCAACAAAATCAGATGTCTTTCCATACTCAACATGGATAAGTCCATTACATTAAAAACGTAACTTATGAGTGACAGTCTAGCCTTCTGCACTAGACCTAAAATAAAATTGGTATATACCTTTGTACGGTAACTAAATTATGAAGACCCCTTGTATAAACCAGTACTGGTAAGCCTACTTTACTTATCACTAAACTTACATAACTAGACAAACTTAGGCCCAAGATGATCAGAACACTGTACCAATTTCCGCATTCTTAAAGAGAGCTGTCAACTACTTCAGACGGAATCTAGCGACCGTTCAATCTACCGGAAGAGCAATAAACCCACAAAGTCACCCAACTGCTTCATAATTAGTTTAAAGACTAGTTTAATTAACAATCTGTGGGTAGCTTAGTCAAGCGTTTAAGCTAGAGTGCACGCCATCAAATCTGAATGTTGTTGGATCCATTCAAAGATTGCTTCAATGGTTTCAGATGCCATTTTGTCATTGGGTTATCAATTAATTATGCTATCCATCTAACTTAGAGGTGTGTGTTCATGTAGTGTATAGCCTACCTACACTGTACCATAATGTTATCATTGTTGCGATATACAGGGTGTTTCAGAATTTGAGTCGGATAACTTATTTTAGGGTATTATTCCTGGGTAATAAACATATATCATATTATTTTAATTGTCCGGTAGACCTTTGTTGCTCCCACAGCCGCCATTTTGTTTTTTTTTTCATTTATTTGTTTTCTACAAAAAGTGATAAAAGATACGAAATTGAAACTTTGCACAAACATTTATGACAACTAGACAAAGCTACAAAAAAGTTATGACAATTATTAAAATAAACAGAAGGATAAGTTAGAATAAAACCTATCACCGTTAATCATAAAGTAGAACGTATACTGTATTGCCATCTGAGGTAGACAGTGGAGCATGCGTATCAGTAATTTCTGAAAAGTGTTACAACGATAATTTCTCTGATCTCGAATTAATGCCCACTAATTTGGTTTTGAGCTCATATACAAACCAGCCAATAAAACCTGTAGGAAAACTTAACGTAAATGTAAAGCATGAAGCTGAGCATAAATAGTTAACATTGTATGTTGTGTCCAAAGGGACTAATCCTCTAAGCTTAATGGGAAGAGACTGGATTAGGGAACTAGAAATATTGATCCGAATCCCTAAAGAAAATAGTTTGAATACGGTTGAAAAGCTAGATCAAAACCAGTAATTGTCAGTTAACTATATAGTAAATTTCCATAGGTATTTACATTAGGTTGTTACAAGGGGGAGGCAGCTAGATTCGAGTTGAAGGAAAATGTAATTTCATAAGTTTTTCAAACCCGTCGATCCAAAAGTTTCCTTGCTCTCCAGTCCTCAAGATTCCAGCAAACCGTAAACCGTGTTGTCGGTCGGGTTTTGTTTCACTCCCAAATAGTGTTTTTATTTCAATTTGTGCACCCAGAAACGTTCCACTAGCGACGAGGTACGAAAACGACTCAAGCGTGAAAAGTTGAGAAGTGACAATCGAAGTACACCGTAGGAAGGTACGTGTGTTTACAGAACAATTCGGTCAATTTAACATCAAACTGTGCGTGTGAGTGTGAACTTAATGCCGCTTGATGAGAACTTTATTGATGACATTATGGTACTTTGTATACACAACAGTTAGCTAAGTATGTAGTAGGGCCTAAGAAATAATGAGCCAATGGCATGGAAACGCCAATAAAAAACTAGATGTACCTACTTAGTTGTTAACATGCTTTATATAATGTCTAGAGGGTTCGTTCTAATAATTTATAAGGTTTCATAATTTCATAAGGTTAGTGTAGGTAGCCTACTCTAACCTTATAAAAATTAGGAACCTAATGGGGCCACTGCTAAGTCTACTTTAGAGAAATGGTAGTAAAATTCAGCAATATAGCCTATGTAATTTTGATTAATTTAAAATCTGAGTTTTTGAGGCTTACATTTACCTCAACAGGTGGAAAAGGTTAGAATCATCTGTCAACAAAGAAAACTTTGTTCGCTCAGTTCGCTGTGATTATTAACTCATGTAGTATAATGAAAAAAAATGTTGTTATATTCTTACCGTTGACTTGTTATAAGTCAGTCTTCATGCTTGAACATTAATAATTAAAAATAATAATTAGAAATGTACCCCATGTGCATGTGCTCAACCTTATGTGAGGAACGAGAACTTGATTCTTCTATCTTCCTTGCTTCTTGCTTGATTGCGGAATTAGGGATTCTGATCAGTGTTCCCAGATTGGCCGTAGTCAAATATCGTACACGCGGTCCTAAATTATCGTATTTCACGAAAAATTATCGTACAATTTTAAATAACAATCGTAACTGGCTTGAGTATTGAAATACCTAATAGACTTATATATTTTTTTATTATAAATCTCAAAATCGCCATAAAACCATATTATTTTTAGTTTTGCACGTTGTAATCATAGTAGGTAACTGATATTATGTGAATATTTCTCAACCTCAACACAAACACTACACCAGTATTTTCCTTCCACCATGCACTCACGGCCACCTTTAACTACAGGCCGCGGCCTGGTAGAATTGGCATCTCCACAAGTGGTATGTTGTTCAGTGACAGACGTCCCATAAGATAACATGGCAGACAGGTGATATCAGCTCATTAATTCACACTTTATTGATTTCAATTTAAATTTATAAACATAAATTTATTAAAATATTGAAAAAAAGACATACAGAATTGAAAACCGAAACAATATGAATTAAAAATCTATTATGTACATTTTAAGCGGAGTTAATATTGTCATAGTCCAGTAACAAATATTTCGTTAATACACAAATACCATTAGCTGCTTCACTTCCAAACAAAACAGCTGTTACAACACCTCTTGTGATGTTGCCACTTTGAAGGCCGAGGCCTGGAGTTAAAGGCGGCCGTGCGTGCACCCGTGCACCATCGATCTCTAAAATAGAGATCGATGGCGTGCACTACTACACCAATAATTCGCCAAATGGGCGAGATTATGTACGGAAGGTCTGTTCTTATGGTAACAGACTTTCTCGTGGTGTAGGAGAAGCAGAAGAAGCGAAGCAGAAGCATTCAAGCAGTTTAGAAGCACATTTATTTCATGGAAATGGTTTCGTTTTAATTTTATTCATACTAACAGTTAACTTATAGTTTTCATAAGATTGATTTTTTATGTATTGATTTTTATATCCCATCTCTAATAAATACTGAGTTTTGATTTAACAGCAAAAATGTTTCCAAATTTTTGGGTATAACCTCCCAAACCAATTTTGTAAAAGAGTACTATTCAATTGCCCAAATTATCGTACAAATAGCATTATCGTACGGTGACGTATCGTACATCGTACGGGAGGCTAAATTATCGTACAAAACGATAATTATCGTACGTCTGAGAACACTGATTCTGATTCTACTACATTCTACTTTTTGAGTTTGACAGTCTTTTTCCTACCAATTCGCTCTAAAACTTCAACTTTTTTGTTCTTTCCCAGTGTGACCAACACCAACGAGTGACAGAGCATTCTAAATTTATCTTCAACATAATATTATCATAGATAAAACATGGTGGTTAGTCTATGATATTATGTACTTTTCATAATACGTAACAACAGAGGGTCCATTCGGGTTTCATATATAACAACAGATTTCATATATAAGCCTACAGTTTTTACTGTTGAAAAATAAATCAATTTAAATTAACTTTGATACGAAGAAAAGTAACCTGCACTACTTAACTTAAACCTGCACACTAAGCAAATTTCAACTTGTCTGATTACATGTTTACTAAAATATTTCCAAAAGGGTCGCTGTCAAGGCGCCACCACATCAAACCACCACCTCAGTGTTTTGGTCAGGGGCGTCAACCCACCACCACTCCACTAAAAAAAACAAAGGTGGCGGGTTGACGTGTACATACACGCCTACTCGCCACCATGACAACGTGCCATCACGACAACCCGCCACCACGACAACGTTCCACCATGGCAACTCGCCACCACCTGTTTTTATCATATGTGGTGGGTTGCCTTGAAGCTCCATGTTTGATTACGTCACCCCACCACCTCGCACGTATGCGACAACGTGCCACTCCGACCACTCGCCACCATGAATACTGGCAATTAACCAGTTGGAATTATATTCTGTAGAATTAAATATACTGTACTTTGATAAATTTATTTTGAATTTAATATGGTAAATTAAGTTAAATTAATATTGTTAATCAGGAATTTTACTTCTCAAACGCCTACAATTTTGACGCAAGGAATCGCCTTACGTTATTAAATATATAGATTGTTTTACCACTAGATAATACCTGGACAGCATTCCCACATACATAGATATTCGAATAATCTATGAATACATACATAATTTAGGCAGGCATAGGTTCCCGAAGTTTATTTAAAATGCACAGAATGTCACCATAACCGATTTGATAATGTTTAATGATTTAAAAACATGTGAAAATAACAAGTATTGTATTTTCAATATAGCATGACCCTTAATCGTTAATTAATTAATAGTAAGTTAATTTTACAAGTTTATTAACAATTATAGTTATTAATTAAAAGAAAAATTGTCTTGCGTGGATGCGTATAGTTGATTTTTATGTCAGATCTTTATAGGAAACCCACTTCAAAATTGATTTCTTAACAATAACTAATGTTTTTACAACCACCAGTACTTTGTAAACTAGATAAAAAAACGTCATGTCAACGGCAAAAGTGATGCATTTTATAATGCACGGACAACAGCCGCTTTTGGCAACGAAGGTGGCAGGTTGTCATGTACGCCCCATGTTCGCTGCCATCAACCCGCCACCTCGCACGTAGACGACAACGTGCCACCACGTCAACCCACCACCACTCTCTTACGAGGTGGCGGGTTATCGTGTACGCTCAATGTTCGGTGCCGTCAACCCACCACCTTACACGTAGACATCAACCAGCCACCACGTTAATCCGCCACCACACTGAAGAGGTGGCTGGTTGACGTGTATGCACCGTGGGGTCCCAGTTTATCGACATCCCAAAAGATCGACACTGAAATAGTCCCACTTTGTCGACAACTCAAAATGTCGACAGTGTCGGTAATATGGGATGTCTGTTAAGTGGGATGTCGGTTATGTGGGATGTCTGTTATGTGGGACGGTTGTGTAAATTTTCCCACTTTATCGACACGCAAAATGTCGACAAGCAAAACAGATCGACAAAGAGCGGGAGATTCAAATTGAAGGTGAACAGTTCTTGCTGAACAGATCGGTTGAGTATAATGAGAGTCGTTCTTTTTTAAACTCCGAACGACTTCTATTCACGGCGCTTGCAGTCTCCTTCTCCTTCAAATTTGTCAATGCTATCTCAACTATCTTGTGTATATAATATGTGTTCTGCCGTTTGAAGGCTTAAAATAATTTGACATTTGTCGCACTTGTATTATGATTTATTGACTGTTTTTTTTCGTGTAAGAAGGTAATTAAAACGTGCTACCTAGGCCAAACTTTGACAGAGGATGATTATGGTATCCATCCAAGTTTTTTCAATCATACATATATTTGAAATTATAATGATATAGTACATAGTTTTTTTTTCATTTAACTTGCTAGCTTAGTGTTAAAAAAGATTAACCCAAATAACAATTTTACGTTGTTCATTGTTACACTTTGAAATATTAAATGAGTTGTAGTACATTTGTATCAGCAACTTACACCGGAAATGAGGAAATGAAAAAAAAACTGCGTTAATTTGCTTCTGCAGATGCTTTGATTCTTTTGTTAACCTTTCCATTGCCAATATGGCGATCCATTAAAAGCAATGACGTCATAAAATTTTGCAATAATTTCTTTCTAAACTATTTTGTAGAGCTTAAAAACAAATTATTTAGTGTATTGAAGCATTATTATGCGCCTAATGGTTACGGAGAAAACTCAAACAGTTGCCTAATGGTTACGGAGAAAACTCAAACAGTTTTAAATTTAAAATCCCTATGTTATTGTTATTAAAATCCCTAAAATCCCTATGAAACGTTGTGTATTGTTTTTTACATTCGTGATGGAAAATGTCCGCAATAAACCTTTGAACAACCTATGTTATTCTTATGGAGAATAAGTAAACTGTTGTAGTTAGCTTGTTTATGAACATCTTTTGATCAAAATTTGAAAATGCATTTATTTCATACTAAACTACCTATATGTAATAATATTACAAAAAAACCTTTAAAACCCTCCCTGTTACAACATACCTAAGTACTTGTTAAACTAATGCAATATTGAAATAGAGGGAATAATTTTGTGATATTTTAAGGAGATAATGTAAATCCAATCAAGCAAATGGAAATTCGTTTATTCTGCAGGTTTGCTGCGGGGGGTATTTAAAATAAATCATAGAGTTGTTGCAGTATTTAGAAACACACATCAGAACCACCTGTAAACTGTGAATGGCTGCTTAAGAAACTTAAACACCTTATCTAAATGCAGTAGGTATAAAGAAAATAATAGTATATGCCTACTGTATTACGTTACTAGCCCGGTAAGCGGTAAGGTGTTTTATCGAAGGCGTAGCCGAGTACGGGATTTTCGTGCGGCACAATTTATTTAGGACAGAACATAAATTCGATTTTTTTTTCTGAAAATAAAATAGGCCGCTGAAATTAGCTGTTTATTTCAACAGCTGACTAAGTACACGGTAATAGTATATTACGTTACTAGTCCTGAAAATAAGTGTGTTTACCCAGGCCATGCTGCAGGATCCATGACGTCACACTAGTGGATAGATTTCATTGATAAATTCATTGCCATTGCCATTCCCATATGTTTTAGGTAAATAAACAAGCTGGCTGTTTGTAAGATTTTAATGGTAAGAGTTTAGTACAACTATCCACCACTGTGACGTAGTGTTGCGCTGCCCGTGCTGCAGCATGGCCTGTTTCTTTCTAGTGGGTTTTTTTTCTAGTGGGGCCTTGGTTTACCGGACGAGTGTGGTCGTTCCCGTGCGAGACGAAGTCGAGTACGGGATTACCATACGAGTCCGGTACACACATTTTGGACGAGTTACGTGCGATAGTTTACGTGATATTTTAAAGGAGACATTTTAGTGTAAATCCAGTTAGGCAAATGGAAATTCGCTTATTATGCAGGTTTGCTGCGGCGGGGGTATTTTACTCTAAAGTCATAAGTGATTTATTTAACCAGATTTACATAAGTTATGCAT